AGAGGAAGAGGAAGAAGAGGAAGAGAAAGGAAGAGAAAAGAGGAAAGGAAGAGGAAGAGGAAAGAGGAAGAGAAGATAGAGGAAGAAAGAAAGAAAATAAATGAGAAGAAGAACAGAAAAGAAAGAAAAATAAAGCAAAAAGATATATATATATATATATATATATATATATATATATATAATATATATATATATAATATAAAGAGAGAAACCAACAGAAACACAGACAGACTGACAGACAACAGACAGACAAACGGGGAAAAAAATCGAGAGAAAAAAGAAAAAGATAGAGAACCCTCTCCTCCCTCCCTCCCCCCCCCCCCACAAAATTCCACTTTCCAATTTAGCTAAGAGTCAATTAGCACAGAACCATCGCTGACCAAGATTTCCAAGTGGATTCTAAGCATAAGGGATACAGAAGACACAATCCCATCAGACTAATGAATCGATCAGCTAAAGTATGGAAAAAGTCAACTAATAAAGTATGGAAGAGTCCCCCCTCCATTTTTTTTTTTTTTTTTTTTTTTTTTTAGGAGAATTAGGTGTGTATAGGATGAATTATGGAAGATAGATATGATTAGGATAGATAATAGGGTTAGAGACTGTTGTATGATAAGATAGGATATACTTAAGCTTTCGTTTTTATGTATATTAAGCTCGTGTTGTTTGGATTTAAGGTTAAATAAAGGTTCATAGGGGGAACTGAAGTAAATTGTGCACATTATTGATAAATAGGATTACGTTAATGAAAGTCGAAAGCAAATAGTGGAAAGGATAACCAATTGATAAAAAAGGACATAAGGTTTAAAACAATAACACTAGACCAGATAAAAGAAAACGGGAAACTGGAACAACAACAACAACAACAAAAATCACGTTAGTGCATTTACCTTTTAGTGTTATACTTATCACCTGTTTTAAGACAACTTAAACACTAAATAGGGAATTGAAAAGGAATAATGAAATAAAACTCCATAAATCTCTACGTCTTTATGTAATGTTAAATGGAAACATACTGATATCTACAGTCATGGATACGATCATGTTTTTCAAAATGATTATCAACCTAGGGAATTAAGAAATAGAATATATATGAAACCCAGTCTGGAAAATGTAGATGTTGATAATGCTGGCAAAGGCAAAGATGGAAATGGTAATGATTATAATATTGACAGAAAGTAACAGTATAGATATAGCAGTAATAATACAACCAACAGAAAGAAAAACTTTTTAAATCATAACAAAGGGATTAAAAAACAATAAAGGATGTAAACTATACTTAACCAATGAAAAGATAATATGGAACCACAAATTATTCCATAACAAATCAAAACAAAGTGATTAGAAAAAAAAAACGAAAGGATATAAACTATACTTGACAATGAAAACATCATAGAACCACAAATTATCCAATACAGAAAAATGAGAGAGAGAAAAATCAACATCCACCCTCTCTCTCCCTCCCTCTTTCTAAAAAAAAAAAAAAAAAAAAAAAAAAAAAAAAAAAAAAAAAAAAAAAAAAAAAAATTATCCAAAACGACAAAAAAGATAACAGCCCTCGAATCAGTTCCTTGATGATCTCTAATCCACGGCAGGTAATTGACCACTTTGGTGTAGACGCCGTACTTGCTTGGTCGCCGCAGCCCTCGCCGAAGGACGTGACGCCGTGCACTGTCCAGCGCCCTGCTCGTCTCGCACATCACAGGGGCCGCCGGAGTCACCTGGGGGGGGGGGGCATCAGATCGAGGTGAATTGAGGAGTAGTAACAGATATATATATATAATATATAATATATATATATAATATAGTGTATGTGGTGTGTGTGTGTGTGTGTGTGTGTGTGTGTGTGTGGTGTGTGTGTGGTGTGTGTTGTGGTTTGTGTGTGTTGGTGTGTGTGGTGTGTGTGTGTTGTTGTGGTGTGTGTGTGTGTTGTGTGTGTGTTGTGTGTGTGTGTGTGGTGTGTGTGTGTGTGTGTGTGGTGGTGTTGTGTCGTGTG